CAACTCTAGCTTTTGGTCTTAGATGCACATCTGAATTTTGTTTATTAAAACTTTTTCTTCACACATTTTCATAGCAATTTTCAGGTATTTCTGGTATTTTGAAACACCACCTTATATATATATATTTATTTATTTATATATATACATATATACATATATTTATATATAAAGGCAGGAAGTTGTCTGGTCACTCTCATGAAATAATGCAAATGTGAAAAATTCCAAATGGTTCTCTCAATCCAAGGCAGAAGTGAAATTTGCATCTGACAGCAGTATCAGATTTTCCCTCTAACCAGCACCCTTACCAATGTCTTTCATTAGCACAGATCCCATGCCATGGCCTGCAGGACCTGCACTGACTATGAGTTCAGACCAGTATAGGAAAAATTTCATGTCATCGGCACTTAGGTCAGTAATGCAGGTTACCTGTGTGACTTCCACAGGGATTCACAGTCCATAAGAATCTTCTTGGTCTAAAACTTCCCCCTGACAGTTCCCAATATTTCTGCAGCTTGGCTGAAGGATAAGGGGTACAATGTACAGAGATCTTGTGAGACCCCACCTGGACTACTGTGTCCAGCTCTGGGATCCCCAGCATTAAAAGGACATTGACCTGCTGGAACAAGTCCAGAAGAGGGATATAAAGATGATCCAAGGGCTGGAGAACCTCCCCTAGCAAGGGCAGGCAGAGAGAGTTGAGGTTGTTCAGCCTGCAGAAGCAAAGGCTCCAGGGAGAACTTAAACCTAAAGGAGGCCTGCCAGAGAGCTGGAGAAGAACTTTTTACAAGGGCAGATAGTGATAGGACAAGGGGGAATGGCTTTAAACTGAAAGAGGGTAGGTTTATCTTGAAAAATTAGGAAGAAATTCATTACTATGAGGCTGGTGAGGCACTGGCACAGGTTGCCCAGAGATGTTGTGGATGCCCCATCCCTGGAATTGTTCAAGGCCCAGCTGGATGGGGCTTTGAGCAACCTAGTCTAGTGGGAGGTCTCCCTACCCAGGGCACGGAGGTTGGGACTAGATAATCTTTAAGGTCCCTTCCCACCAAAACCATAGTATCGATGCTATGATTCTGTGACTCTATGATCCCATGCCTTTCTCTGCTGCTAATAACTTCTACATCAGAAGAATAAAAAGACTAATCTAGCCCCTCATCTAAACCACTCAACTTTTCTTGCCCACTAGCTTCTTTCTTACTCCCCTACGCTACTAACAATAGCTCACGAAAACTGACAGAGACAAGACAATTATATTTAAAATTTATTTCCCGGTACAGTTGCAAAGGGTGCCAGAAATGAGCCAGAGATATTCCTGAAATGTCTGTCCATGCCCCTAAAACTAAGTTTGCACCAAGAAGCGCTGTCCTGTTAGAGTATTGATTCTGACAACTTTTAACACATCAAGTCAGCCCAAATGGAGGGAGCGTTAGTTGTTTCACTGCCCTCAGATGACCTAGGCTTTTATCAACTAAATTCAACTTGCTTTTCCTTGCCTTTGCACAGGGCATTGTCACTGACTTCACAAGGCCTCAGGCAGCTTATAAATAAGTCCCTGTTGATAATACCAGCATCCAGCTGGTTTTCTGGCCTGTACCAAGGAGCTGGTACAGCCAGAGAGCAGGCTGGTATGAGAAGCAAGCAAAGACAGAATCACAGAATCAACTAGGTTAGAAAAGACCTCTCAGATCATTGAGTCCAGACTATAAGACATGAGCAAGGAAGAACAAAAAAAATATAATATCATAAATATAAGAGTATGTGTCCTTATCTACACATGGCAATGGCTAAATTTCAAAAGATATCATTTTAAAAACCTAACCAGAACTAGATATTTGAATCCTCAGAATGAGATATTTGAATCCCTATTGCTAACACTATCAAAAGCATGTCTCATAAACATTAAGGAGCCATTTGTTCTAAAAGCTGGCACAAAAGGATCTGTTTGCACACATTCATCATTACTGACTTTAAAAGCTGCATTTTAAAAGAATGACAAAAGCTTTGCAGGGTAAAAGGCTGGTACACACTGCACTTAAGGAAAACAGATGGGTGTATTGACACTTGTGTTTTATATTCTGATCTGCTTTGGATATATATATCTGCTCACTTTTAGCAGTAATTACAAGCCCAGCTCATTGGCCAAGATCCTAAAATGGCTAGTGCTGTTTAGGCATTGACTAAAAAGATGACATTTAGTCAAAATAACAAGAAATAAGTCTATTCAAAGAATGCTGGAGAGGAGATAGAAAAACCAATATGCTTTTGTAAACTCAGTTACACCAGAGGCTTCATAAGTTTGCATTTTAGCCTCTGTTAGGTCAAACAGAAATGTAACAGGAAGGAAAAAATAATCAAAGGAAATTATAATAGGCCAAAGTCTTTAGAAGGATGTAACTTTTCACCTCAACAGCTGAGTGTGACAGTGGAACAAGACCAGGCTGGGCTGAGTAATCACACGGTCTGTTTGGAGATGATACCAACATCATCTTATTGAATCTGTCATAATGCTGTTTTTTTAATTAATTAGTGATTACACAGGCAAATAAGGGCTGTGTCCCTGGCTATCATTCTCCTGACACTGAACTCACATTCATGTTTTCACCTGCAGGTGTAAGGATGACTCTTCTTCCTCAGTACTTCACACCTGAATCTTGCACAAGTTTATTCCCAAAAGGCTGACCATCCATCAGTGTTTCCTAGTATTTTAAAAATTTTAAAAATAGCAGAATTAAGATTCTTCCCTTTTGGTCTTTTTTTTTTTTTTTAATTATATATTTCTTTCATGCATTCTTCGCATTATGTTATTTTCATCTGTTGTATCCCATCTTCAGCTGAGGCCTAATGAACATTTCTCAGATCACAGTGTTGCCCATGGGGAAGTTGGGATGCACCACCACACCTTCCCTCAGCCAGCAGCAGTGGATTTTAACCCTCAAGGAGTAAAAACAAATACTATGCTTTCCTATGATCTCTCAAAACTACAGCCATGGAAGGCTTGTTTCTTGAAGAATAGCTGGACATTCACATAAATGCTTTACACACCTAAATTCTCTACTGCTGCATCTGAGCATATACACAGAGTAATGCTCTTCTACAGGGAACACATACACTCGAGTTTTTGAAAAATGGCCAAAACCCTTGAGTGAAACTAAATAATCCTGTTAGGTGTCTGGCAATAAAACTCATAACTTAACTGAATGCTTGATGTAGGGAAAAATTAGATTCTGAATGCAATACAAATTGTTCAAAAGAAATAGAACAGAGAAGGTAGTAACTTTAGAATACTACAGCAAATACCCAATTTCATTGTATTTTTAACTAATATCAAACATAAACACAAATATAAGTTGTAGTGCAACTGAAGATAGTATCTTCAGCAACCAGAATTAAGATAACATGGATAGACTACTAGGCAAAGTCAGATAAAGGCAATAGCCTTGAAGTGGCCAGTTGAAATAGCTGGGAAAAGTCCATAAACCTTGGGCATGCGTGTTTGTCTGAAGGAGGACATTTCACATTTCACAGAAGGCTTATTTAGACTTTCCAACTAGACTAGTCTCTTGGAAAAGACTAAATCTAATTTCAAACTGTGGCAATTTACATTCCTCATCCAGCTCTTCTTTTTCTTTTTTCCTTCTAAAAAGATCCTGATCTCAGTGTGGCAAACTTTTTGGGACACAATATTTTCAGAAAAGCCATTCTAAATTTAACATGACATAGAGGGTAGAGAAATGGATTCAGAGAGGAATTGATCCATAAAAGCCAAAAAGTTGCTTCATACAGGGCATTATGGACACAAGTTCCCTGGCAGGCCCCACGAATAATCATTAATAAAGAGTATGGGGCCCAGCAAACGGCAAACACACAGACAATTATGGCAAGTGACTTCGCAATTTTCTTGTCCTGCTGCAGTTTTGACCTAGTCTTTGAACAGAGGGAAACAGAAAATTCATTTTCTGGAGTAACAGAATTCCCTCTTGATGGAGATGAGCAGTCGGTTACCAAAGACTCTTTCTTTGGTCTCATGGAAGAAGAAACACTGTCCTCTGCTTCCGAGGAAGGAGAAGATGCCCCCGACCTTGGCAAAGGGCAAAATCTCCAGGACAGGCTGCTGCTCCTTGGAGGCTCACAGTCCTGCACACCGCCTTGCCGCTGGCGCCTCTGGATGCTGTGGAAGATGTGCATATTGAAGTAGATCACCAGGAGCAGTGGCACAAAGAACTCCAGGGTGGATGCACACAGGAGGAAGTACCAGTTGTCAAAGAACTCAGCATAGCACTGATCTGCTGCTACTGCGCTGTGTCCGGCCACATGCTCCCAAAAGAGAATTGCTGGGCAATAGAGGAGAAAGGCTAAGACCCATATGGCCACCATCTTGATGGCAGGGTTGGAGGTTATTCCCTGCTGGGCTCTGTAAGATACCTGCAAGGGAAAAAGAAAGAAAAAGGTCAGATTTTTGAGATACATTTTGGAACCAAGGGAAGTAGCAGAAGAAGTCATCAGAGTGCTTGGTAATTTAGAGCTGTGGCTCTGCTGATCAGCTGAAGCTCACCCAAGCATGTTTAATTCATTGATGTTGACATAGCATAGGGTTGTCTCTCTACAGGTTAGTGTAGCTGTACAAGGATCATGGTCCAGGGTATGAAACATGATCATCCATCAGTACCTAGTAATTTGGTATGCCTTGTTTGAGACACCTTGTGATCTGAAGTTCCAGAGTTATTAGTATCTTATAGTTGTTCAGAGCATAACTCCCATTCACTGGCAATTGCAGTGCTTTTTGCAGTATTTTGCAAACAAATAATGCTGTATGCATCACAGAAGTCAACAAAAAATGTGGCACATAAATTTAACACCCATTTTTAAGAAAATTGCTTATTGGACACTTCATGAGAATGAAGGAATAGATTCCAGCTCTGCAATGCAGCCCTTAGCTGATGAAACTACAAAATCACCCCTTTTCTTCCTTCTCTGACCACTCCAGGGCCAGTACCTATTTTCCACTATGTGCTGTAGACAGAGAGGTATATTGCAGTTCACATCCTGTTCCACCCCTTTCCCAGGATGACAGAGCTTAGATATCCCAGATATTCTGGGAGCTTAGATATCCAGTTGAAAACACAAGCTCAAGTTAATGTCATATTCATGCAGGTGCTCTGAATTTTGCATTTTGTAAATGCTGAGCCTTTGGCTTTCCAGTGTAACATTTCTTACATACCAGATGTTTTGGTGTTTGATTTCCCAGACTTTTTCCTTAAAATAATAAAATTTAATATAAAGGCAATTATAATAAGTGGAATTAATTACAATTGACAAAAATAAGACTGAAATGCTATTGTATGATGTTATGTTGACAGTCTCATACATCACAAAAGAGCTGGAACCTTTAGTTCTCCCTGACATTCCCTGCCACCTGAGCTAACAGCATAGCTGGTGAGAAATGCCGGCATCCATTTTTAACATTACCTGAGACATAAAGCACACACAACGTGTGTAGGATGCTATGAAGAAAGGAGAGACGGAGTGCATCTGAAGTTTGGGATTCTGCTCCAAGAGGACTTTATTGCCACATTTCTACAGGCCATCATTGCATTCTACCCCTTGTCCCATTCTCTGCCTGTTTGCTCTTGCTCCCAGTCTTCTCCAGGATCATTTGTGGCCACATCTCAGGTCTAGACATCCTCCCTGATGTCCTTTATTTCACTGCCTTAGCTTCACTGCCTTTTCCTCCCATTCCTGATTTTACATCCAAACCCAAATCCAGTTTACTCTGAATTTCATCTTTCTTTGCCTCTTTTTTACTAGTCTCGTGCCTTACCCTTTTTACCCCTTAGCCTGCTTTTCCTCAAGCAGCAGCACAACGTGAAGCAGAAATTGTGAGAAAAGTCCTGGCTGACTAGCTCTGTGCTAGAGCATGCTCAGTGAGGAATATTCATCCAATCTAGGTGCAAATATCTAATAGTCTCCACGTGTCAGTATATTTTTGAGAGCTATTATCTCAATTAAATTTTGGGCTTATACTCACAAACATAGCAAAGGTTGATGAATATAATCCTCCAACAAAAAAATCAGAGAAGCTGTAAACAGGGTACTTACGGCTCGAGTAACTGACAGGAAACGGTCATAGCTGATAAGAACAATGTTAAATACTGAAGCTGTGCACAGGAGATAATCCATAACTAGCCAGAGCTTGCAGATGCCTCTTCCCAAGTGCCATTTTCCTGTCAGGCTGTACGGGATGTAGAGAGGTATGCAGAACACACCTGTGGAAAGCAACCACAAAGACACCATGCAGTTCATATGGACTGCAAACGGTACTCCTGGAAGCAGGGAGACACATTATTATGGAATTTGGGTAAAAGAAATTAACAAATCTATTAGGGTGGATAGATGATTTATATACAGAAATTCATAAATTCTCATGAAATCTGGTGGTGACTTTCTGTGTATTAGATCTTAGTGTGATTTATGTATGCTGATTGTTGGAAACAAGCTCAAAGCAAATCAGCGAAGAAGGATCTACTGAAGAAGAAAACTGCAGTCTAACCAATTTACACTCTCTAAAGGTACATAATTAGTGCTGCAGCATATATGCGCTGTGGCTGCATTCTGACATGTAACCTCATAGCTGTATTTCCTCTAGTCTTTTGTCTTTTAGAGCTTTCCCCCGGGCATATCTACAGCTGTTGCCAATGGCAGTTTTTATTGTAAGATTGGTTAGCATTTGCAAGCTAAAGACAATATATTGGACAGTCTGTGTGGTGTTTGGAAACGTCTTCTACCAGAGATAGAACAGACACAGCAGAAGAATGAAACTCCCATTTTTAAGGAGTGTTTTAATCATGTCCTTGTTCTCCACCTGAGAATAACTCCAAAACCAATTTTTTTTCTGTTAAATTTGGGGTTTTTTTGTCCAAAAGGCCTTCAACAGAAGTACTTAATTAAGAAAATCATGTTTGTCTTTCATTTTTAAGCCAGCAACTTCTTCATTGTACCTCTAATATTCTTTCAAAAGTGTGGTGCAACATCTGATACTACATTCCTAGAAATGCTAATCTACCAGAGACAAATAGAAAATTATATGCAGCTTCAAGATTCATTTTAAACTCTCCAGTCTATTCTTTTCTTGGTATGTCCATCAAGACCTTAGAAGCTACTGAACTTTACCAGGCTATGTGGCCTACTGACTATAAACCTCTGGGCAATGAGCTGACAGATTGCTATCAACAGGAAAACATGTACAGCTCTTTCGATAATGATGGCTTGTTTAACACACACCCTAGATACAAGCAGCAACACTTCTGTACAAAATACTCATTTTCCATAGTTGCTGATGACAGCTACTGTTCTCATCAACTTCTATGGGATCAATGTTTGCTTTCATGTCAAAAAGAAATTACTGGTTTTGGCTATAGATATAAATATAGAGGCAAGAACCAGGTTTTAAGCATTTATATATCAAACTATTCTCACTTTTACTAATTAGTGGATGCAAAAGACATGAGCCACATCCCTGGAAAGATTCCAAACTTTTAATAAATTAAAAAACAAAAACAAAACAATAAACAAACAAACAAAAATGACAAAATGAAACAAAGAAAAAAAAATTTAAAATTAAAAAAATAAAATAAACCAGCAGCTTCAGAAAATAAAGTATTTCCTGACCAATATCAGACACAAAATCTTAGATTTATATTGTCTATATAGGCTAGTGTAATACTGATACCAATCATTTCCTCTTGGCTGATTTAAGACTACATGAGGCACCAGCCACAAAGAAGAACTGATGCAGAAGGAAGATGTTTGCATCTCTTGACTACACTATGAGATATGAGGAAAAACAGACTTTTGCAGAAGACCTGAGCTATGAAATAGCAGCTCCAGCTGCCTGGGCAGGAAAACAAAGGCCTCAGCAGATGCATCATTTGTTTTCTGCATAATAGGCCGAGTCCCAGAATAAGGCACCACCAGTTATAAATGGCAGAAATAAAGGAAAACCTTAAAGTCTAGACTAATACACTTCACTACAGAGCACTGACAAAGGAACAGCATTTAGGGAAGACTGTATTGCCAGATGTGCAGTGGGTCGATGAGGGCTATTTCCTTTTTCGTGATTCAGTGAATACTGGTCTCTGTGACTGTCCTGAAGACAAAGTACCTGTATGCAGAAATACCTCTTTGCTAGCCTCAAGTCAAGATGTTTGCTGGCACATCTGCCACAGGTCCATGGTTTTGTCAGGCTTTCTCTGCTGTGTGGGCTGTTTCCCTGGCCTGAACCATGGAGGAGTACTGCACAAGACATTCACACCCCCACCTCCTCACTTGGCACCACCAGTCAGGACTGAATCCACGGCACCTCCAGTGACCAATTCTTCTGGAGTTCTGCAATGTCACTATGGGAAGAGGGGACCAATAAGGAATACAGATGGGAGATGCCATCAAGGTATTACTGATATCAAACAACCCACTGGATCAATAGCCTGTGCTAAGTTGAAGCCAGTAAAAAGTCCCGGTGGTAAACTATTTTGTTGTAGTGCAATACATTCAAAAGTCATTAGTACTATGTAGAGAAATAATTCATTTACCTGGATGTATCACACATAGCTGTATAAGAAAACAACACTGTCAAAAATAAGGATATTCTGAAGTGTGTGATGAACAGTCTTACAGGAGGGGCAAGGGCAAATCACAAACTGTAGCAAAAAAACATTTTTCCTTCAGTTAGTATTTACATTTAATACTTGGTTCTTTTTCCTGAAGAAACATTAAAAGTATTTCTATGAAAAGGGATGCATTTCTCGTTATAACACATTTTGAGGCATAGTTGCCTGCTAAAATACATTCCTTTCCCTTCCCCTACAAACATTTGGGAAATAGTTATCTTAGAAGAAACCACACAGAAAATAAAACCCAGTGCTTCTCCTAAGCTTCCCAGGACACAATTAGCACAGGCCTCCACCACTGTGACTTACCCACTGCAAAGTCAGAAACAGCAAGATTGAGAAAGAAATAGTTACTCCGATGCCTGAGGTTTCTGTCCAGGATGAAAGCAAGGATCACCAGGATGTTTCCAAGGATGGTGACCAGACATAGCAACACCATGAGGAAAGCCAGCAGCACCAACACGCCCAGGGAAAACTCAGAGCTCGGTGACTGGGTGGGCCGAGTCTCATTACACGCTGCAGCCACATGCAGAGTTCCGGCAGTGCTGTTGTGCATGTTGTGTATCCCGGTCAGTTCAGCCTGGGAAGAAAGCTGTATCTGGCAGAGTTATCCAAAAGACAAGTCTATTAACAGGCTGGGCTGAATACTGACACATTCAAAAAAATTCACAATATCAAAATGATGGAACACAAGACTTCAAGACCTGGAGTCTCTAACATTTCTCGATCCAAATGCACCTATTGGTCTGAAAAAAGACA